GAGGTCAGCGCTCGTGAAATACAGTTGCGTCCTTCAACTTGACTGTGTATTAGTCAACACGCAAGAATTTGTTTGAAGCGTTCGTATGTGACCACACTGTCACTTCTTCAAAAGTAACCGTCGTGACCGACAAAAAAGAGAGACGATAGCTGGTGCCGGGTAAGGTTACTTGTCTTCTTCCTTGCTTCCGTCTGATTAATGACCGATTCCACAGCTGAAATCATGTTAGCAGGTTTAATATCAGCCGTGTTGAAAGATGCTTTGTTGTGTAGAACCTGTATTTTCTCCTTCGTCAGCTCTCTTGATGACAGGTTGTGTACCAGTTTGACGTTTCTCGATGACGTTGGATTATGCACTTTTCTCTCAAGTGCTGCTTTGCGATTCGCTTGCTTTTCCCGGGCTCGTTAAGCCGGTGTCTGCTGACGCTGTTTTGTGTTGTCTTCGTCCATGAACTTACGGCATCTGGTCTTCTCTTGATCAGTTATGTGACAGTATTTACATAGCCTCGTGTTGCAATCTTGCAGGATTAAACGGATCATTCTTTTGCCGTGTTGAAACATTGCGTGTCTCACCAGTTCCATGTTTAACGTGGGCTTTTATGTAACACACTTTGTCAACAGGTTGTTGTCAAGACACTTGTGCAGAAATCGAATCTGCGCGTAGGTTGAGGCCTCACAAAGTTGAAAGCTTCCCATCGTCAGGCCGATCAGAGCGAATCGCTCCCACACAAATCGTCAATACAAGCGAGGATGCGAGCCCCAGGAAGTAAGTAAGACGAATGACAGTTTTATTCGCCTGATGTTTCGGCTTCCGTCTCGGATTCTTCATCAGAAACATCAGCAGGAAACAGTAACAAGAACAAGTTCTTCTTCTGAACTGATGGCAGATATTCCTCATGACTATAAATACTGAGAAACGATAATGAGTCTCCTAATAAAAGAATATTATTTTTGTTTACAATGACTAGTTGCAACAGTCCACTGCGATAGCTCTGCATACCCGTAGAGATCGCAAACTTATAGCAAACGGGACGGCAATGATCAGAACAGAACTAATCAAATTTTCTAATAAATATCCATTAGTGAACAAAAAGTACCTCGAGGGTGCCTGCTTACTACTTCTACAAAGAGAAAAGGCCACATAAAACTCGTTTTCGTTAGCACACATCTAGACAGTGTAGTAACCTCCACATTTAGGTAGATGAGCATTGCTAGTAAAAACAAGTCCTACTGGAATGACCAATTCAGCTCCATCAGCCGTCATTTCCCCGTTGTGCCCAAATCCAGTTGGCGCACGAGCTGAGGATAGACCCCGCGGCAGACGTCTAACGCTTTTAACCAATGGGCGTTTGATGCCGCGTGGCTGCTAGCAGGGCTCGAGCGATAGCCCCAAGGCAGAACGGGAGGAGCGATTTCCATTAGCGATCACTGAGCCTTCTTCGATGAACCCCGCAGTTCTCCATATCAGATTTCTACAGGCAAACGAATGATGACAGTGCCGAGGCATAATGCTATATATACGAGGAATATTAACGCACAGAAGAACCCCAAAGAGTGGCCGAATAGCGCAGTAAAGCATGTAAATCAATGATCGGAAAAACTCGCCTAGACAGTGAGATGTTATTTGCCACATTTATTTAGCTGGTTTTTCGATCGAGTGTCCGCCAGCAATAATTGCAAGCAGGCGACACTTTTTGTTTTCGGTTTATCTTCCTGCGTAGCGCGCAAAACATCACAGGAATATTGAAACACTGTTAATTGGACAGCTAATTATCTTATTAATAGGCAAGACCGTTTGCAGTTGAATAAGAGGCCACGAAATTTTATGACGTCAATAAATCCTGCTAATCTCATGAGCTGCGCCTTATTCAGACCACGGGAATATTTCGCTACTAGGTCGACGATTGCATCGAGCGCAAAGGAAGTTGCTCGTAGGATTATCACGGGAGAAGGAATTACTTACTATATGTCATAGAAACACATCGAGCTCCTTTTTATTATCGTAATTCGCACGATTAGGCCCCTGTACACAGTCCTTGTCCGATTTCTGAGTTAAGTTCGATTACATCGTGTGCTAGGGTAAAGGAAAGAACCAGTTTTTTTAAATTTAGGATTTACATTGTTCATTTATTCATATTTGTCCCGTGGTGATAAAGTATACCGGTAATAGTTGGAATCCTCTGGCTTATGTTTCTTTATTCTTTTTATTAACTTCTGAGTTGACAAACGCTCCCTGGGGACTATCTGTTCTTCAATACATGTGCGTTAAAACATAAACGACAAGACCAAACATATCGACTGATTCTCCCCATTTCAGTGCAACGTTCGTTGCGCTTATAATTGCTTAAGAATGCAGTATTTTTTTGAGTCAGCCAGTTGTCAGGCGTTCTTGTTTACGAAGCTTGTGGTTACATTGCTTTAATGCTTATATATGAACCTTTTTCTTAAGTATTAATCAGCATTCAATAAATGAAAACCAAACAGGATTTGAAAAGCAAGTTGCGCGAATTAATTTGTTGCGTTTCTCTTGCCGTTTAGTTCTACTGATTTCTCGGCATTAAATGAGTGCTTGCAGACTTAAAGCTCATTTCCCTCTTCGGGACATTTACCACGCACTCGGCTTCCGGTGGTTAATCGGCGAACACCAATAACATGCCAAGTAGAGTACATATTCGGTTCTGAAGATGAATACGGAAATGGCGTGCAGGGCTCACCATGGCTTAAGAAAGGAGAACGCCCGTATTTTAGGCCAAGAGTCTCGATAAAGTCAGTTCGAAGACTAGGCCGTGAGTCTAAAGCGCGGACACAGTTTTGGCGGATTCGAAAGTAATCCCAGCTTTCCACGAAACAATTATTTAACACACAAATTAATGGGCACAGGATAATGTCGTCAATGCTGTCATAAATCTGGTGTCCATAGTCATGGAAAAAGAGAAGCTTTCACTTTTATTTTGCAGCGGTATCTGAGCCACCAAATACGGGGGTCTATATATTTTCATTTTCCAAAGACAGAACACACCCTAAACTAAGGGGTTGTTTATATTAGGAGGAATTACTCAACGGTTTGCTTTAGTCAGGAAGCCAAGTATAAAGGAAACGCTTTTATGAAGCCCATTTCATCGGTTTATTCAGATATTTGCCGGCGAATTAAAATCTTACCACCAATAATTAAAAAATACACGCAATTAATTTTCGAAACTCTAATCTTGATGGAACGTTGTCGTGACACGAATGTAGCGTGGTGTTTTTGCGATAAATAACATGACTGTTAGCTGTGAACTGTCAATTCCAAAGCGTGCTTCCTCAGTCACAAATTGACATATTTGCTTTCCCAATATGTGTGGTTTCAGAAAAATATTTTATCGCATAACTTATTTTTTTCACGTTCAGTAAAATAACACCACCGAATGAGAAGCTTTTCCATCATTTCTTCCTGAAGGAAAGAAGACCTAGTACCTCCGATATGATTATTGTAGATAAATACGTACTTATAAACTACTGAAAACTCTTTGCAGCTTATGAATATTACGCGGTTATATCACAATAGCTGATAGATTTCAGTTAAAATATTTATATTGATTTTCACAGCGGACATTTCGGGACTTAATCTGAAGTATTTGCGTCGTAATGTCCAGATAAACTATAAAATGCAGATTAGGACCCCTTTTTTCGAGCTCCACTATGTCAAAACACGTACAACGTAAATGAACAACATATGGTGGGCAGAACAGTGTATTAAAAATCACGATTTTGCCCTATTACATCATGAGCGCAGCATGTACCAACGACTAACTGCGATAGATCTAACAGGTTGCTGTTCAGATATACTCAAGGACAAACAAACTTTCATATGGGGCGTTATTGTAAGAAAATGATTTATCCTGAAAGTAAATCCCTCCATTTTTGCAGTAATATATTTCAGCGAGAACGAATCGTGGGCTATTTTAACTGTGCTCGAACTTACTCCTAAAAGGTTGCCCAAACGGAGCTAATGCAGACACCTGCCCAGCGAGTCGGATGTAATCCCTTTTTTGACTCCCCCCTTGTGTATTCATATTGATAGACGTCTTCTCAAAAATGTAAAATGTCCATCAAAACCTTTGTATGTTCCTATGGAGCAGATCTGTTGACCGAACACATAGGTGCCTTGCAACGCGGCTGCGAGAAGGCCAATTTCATTGGCTCAGTCATGTTACGTTAAACTCCATTTTCAGCTAAACTGACCGTTACCTGGTCTATGACAGTTAGATCGTTAGTTTCGACGATGTCCACTCCGTGATTTAGCATGCCGAAGGCAAACGCTAGACACTAGACTTGCACAGCATCTACCGCAATCTCCCTTCCCTCACTCATCTGAGCCCGGTGCCAAGACAGTGTCAAGAAAACCAAGGGCGGAATCAGTTGCGGTTGGCTACTAATGCCTGAGCCTACACCTACGCGTACCAAAACGAACCCCATGTCCAGCACTTTTTGAAGTACCTTTATCTGCCTTTTCCCCCGTGATGGTCCAGCACACGTACCACGCGGTCCGTGTAGGACTATAGCAGCCACCGGATAGAAATTAACCAGGCCATTCGAACAAGCGGAACACCCCTAAATAACCCCACAGCGAAATTTTCCTGCCGTAGAGGGATGTCCATGCTGTGCAATCTGATGCACTTATGGGGAGTTCATTTACGCCCTTAATTCCCTTGGGCGCAAGCTGAATGTCACAATTTCTTACCCCATGTCTTACAGCTCGCAAACAAAAGTACATTTCACTGGAAACCCTCCCACTTAGATTATAATTAGCTCCGGGGCCTTGTCTAGACAGCCTTCAACCTTTTCCTTATCACGCTTATCATTGGTTGTTTTTGATCTTTATTGCCCTATTATCACTCAATTAATTGCAAAGACCTGATTATATGTGTTGGACGCATGCGAGCTTCCAGTTTCTACGTCAAAACAATATAATGTTTCCTGAGTTTAAACCAACTGTGCGTAGCCTATTGCTTTCCAAACCTATATAACCAAGAGCATGTAATTCGGTTTGTCCAAAGGCAAAAAGGAAGCTGTAAACGTCATCAGCTTACTGGCTACGAGTAGACCCAGCTGGCAACACTTGTAGACAGATGCCTGTGCTAGGAGGTAGAGCTTGAATCCAGCCACAAACAAGAAGAAGGTGATGAAGAAGAGGATTGTGCAGGAGATAATCAAACACACCAAGCCCACGCGCCAGGCCGTGTGCGGAATGTTTACGAAAGTATAGTGGCCACAGGAGTTTAGCAGATCCACCGCAGTGCTAATTGGTCCCGCCGGACTGCGAACACTAGCTTCCTCTTTGAGTGGCGCAGTTGCGTAAGTGGGGTATACACATCTACGAAAAATCCCCAAATGACTGGTTATTACGTAGGGGGTAGGCGGTTTACTGCCGGGAGTCTCGGCTTGGGGACTGATCTCAAGGGAACCTTTTAGCCAGTAGGGCAGAAGACAGCCAGCGGTGCAGAGAAGGGCTGATAGCCATGTCAACATTGACCAAATAATCCAAAGGCAACGCATATTCTGACATGGGATCACAGACAGAGAGACGCAGAGGGCGCTATTGCACAAGTCTGAGGCTGTTTTGACGCGACGGGGGAATTAGATCTAGCGCGTCAATTGATCAGCCTCAGGGCAACAAATCTGACCACGTGATTGGCTGCCCATATAACCAATCAAAGGCGTAAATTAGGCTCACAGAGGCGCGTGCGTATAATGACGCGTGGAATATGTAACGGCAAACGGAACGCAGAGCCAAAAGTGGACGGCCAAACGCGCTACCTTGCTCTGTGGTAAATCTACGGGTGATGCGGAAATAAACCATTAAGGAAAGTGATATTATTAGTGTAAATTACTGCAACCTTACTTTTCGATGGGTCCAGCCGACGTTAGGTAAACTGTACTTGTGACGATAACTATATAACTATAGTTATATTATTCTAGCTAGCGCATCTTCTTAGCGCACTAATAAATAATTCCGTATGTTGGAATAAATCCGTATATTCGGGGACCTGCATACGCAGACCCAAATAAAATATTAATAATTGGGCCGAAGTCCATTAGCGACTGCGGGATAACCGCAGCTGCACCATGCAGTAGCGGAAACTCGGCGAAGTACTCGTCTAAGTTTGTAACTAATGCCTGCGTCACCAGGATAGTAAATAATATCTTAGTTTATTCTGCGCATTGTCCAATACACACCCAGCTAGTATGAAACTGTCTGCTGGTAATTCGCTCAGGGAGAAATGTGAATTAACGCTTTACTGAAATAGTGGTAGTAATGACACCTTTTAAAACATATTACGCACTAAATGTTTGACCACCAGAAGCGTGAAACTAGAAAATTAAAACAATAATTTAACAGGAGTGGATGATAAAGATTGCAATTAGGATTGCTTACTCGGGCGTAAATTTTTGCTTTCTGGTAGTTGTCTAGAAAACGTCCTGAAATTGTCATAACCTAGCTCTTGCATTTTACAGTCCAGGAAGTAACCACTGCGTCTTCAGGTTCCAGTGTCCGTGAGCGTTTAGATAGGCAGAAGTCTATTGATATTTGTCCACTAATTAAAAACTTCCTGAGCAAAGGTAGTTTTAGTAGTTTACATCATATATTCCTAGTCCCAGCATTTGTCCTACGGAAACAGCGGTTATACGGGTTTTCGGTGGGGAAATAGGATAGACAGCGAAGGAAACTTGTAGAAGTAAGTGCAAAGTGGAAAAAAAATAGTTGAATTTGTTTCCCGCAGCTGCTGGGAGTAAGTTGTTCCGCATATAAATTGACGGTATCCGCAGCGCTTCGCATACCTCCTAACCACAATTGATATACTTTCAAGAATTTCAAGAAACCTGCATTCTAATAATTGGGTTTTTCCGCAATGCGTTAAACGGTAATATAGATAAGGAAAATCTACAAATATGAATCAACAACATTTCTAAATACAATGAAGTGAAATACATAAAAACAAGAAGAAGACGTGCTCTCTGGAACGGCAATTTTATTGTTCTGAAATTTTATTGTTCCAGAGATTTCGTCTGCTTCTACTTTACAACAAGAACCTCGGGCACGTATACTTGATTCTATTCGTGAAAAATGCATATAGCCGTTAGCAAAGTATACCTCACTTCCTATCCTAATTCCTCACCGATAAACCCCTATAACCGCGTCGTTTCCGTAGGGCAAAATACTGGGAGTAGGGGTATATGAGGTGCACTATTTAAACTACTGTTGCATTTCCTGAACAGCTTCTTAAGGCACTGCTTGTGTCAGCGCCCAAGAGAAACAAACGGAACAGAACCACAAATGTTTTGGCAACCTGTATCGTATATAAAGAATGCGTTGGAAGCAACGAAACGTATCGCTGCAGATTTTGGCATGGATGTTGCTAACTGTCCGACACCTACCATGCGTTCGCGGATCAGGCAAATAGCAGACCCACTGTATGTAGGTGAAGAGTCTGGTGTCGTTTTTTCAAACACCATTTAGCGACTGTTCTTGCCCTTATACAGGACAGACCAAGCGATGACTTAACTCACCAATAATGGAGCTCAAATTGGCAGTAGGAAAAAGGCAACCCACTGTCTCACACCACTATCTACACCCTAAGGCGAGGCCAGAAATTCACTTTCACGGGCTCGCTGATATTGAAGTGACCCAGTAATAAGACAGGGCGAAAACTTTTGGATGCATTTGGATTTGATTCCGTCTCCATCGCAGATATGTTGATATACCCCGCTTCGTTAGCGCGGCCAAGAAGCGCGGCCCATTCTCTAACCAAGGGCTCTCGTCGTGCCGACGACGTGAGCCTCCACTCAAACTATTTTGGATGCTACCTCTCCCACCCTCTCCCCTATCCCTCCTGTTTTTCTCGTATCTTAATTACAAAACACGTCCTTTCTCGCTGCCCTCTCATTTTCTCCGAAGGCGAGCTGTTTTACGAAGCCGAAAACCCCGACAAGTACAAGTGTTACCCTGCGATCGCAACTTCGTCTTCTTTAATAACTATCCATATATTACAAGAAATCGCTTCCGGACAACATAAAATCCAGTAAATCCCAGCCTCTTCCATGCGTTTTATTTCTTTAATTTCATATTAACTAAATAGTTTGATTGATTCAGTGTTCTTTCCATGGCTTTTACGTAATTTTCATGAAAAAACCCTATCGGTGGGAAGAGTTTCTCATGGGTAGTATTCTCTGTTTAAAATCCGTAAAAAGCCCACACGACACGTGTTTTATTTACGCAATCTGTGATCAATGAATCATCAACCCATGTTGTGTCAAATCTCTTTGCTGCTTTTACAGTTTTCAAGACCAGCAAAACAGAGAGAAGTCACGGCCAGAATAAAATTACCAACAACGGCAAAGACTAACATGTTCATTTTAGGCTAAGTTAGCGTTGTCAACCGGGCGTATTTAATTCCAATTTCAGCACCTATTGAGGCTCACACCCGCGACAAATTGGTAAGATGTCCAACGTACATCAGCGTTAGTGGTATCTTCTAATTTGGGCGTATGCTGGTCTGAATAAGCGTATGTCTCACATTCTGAATGTGGTAGTCTCTAATAAATGCATTAAGAGAAAAAAACCTTTTTTACTAATCTGGCACGAGATTACAATGTTTCTCCTGCTTCTTATTAATGACGTTGCTGTTATTCGTACAGTCATGTTTATCAATTTCTATTTCTTCAGGCAAGATGCGGAGCTTTGGGAAAGCACTTGGATTAACAATGCGTGATTTCCGTTACCGAGCGGCCTAGGGCGGAACGACGACGCCATCACTCGATGTTGCGTGCCCGAACCCGGCTGCTGCACGTTGGCTCAACAGTCAATTAGAATCGATCACGTATCATACTTTTGCTCACCCTTGCGACTAAACGGCCAATCAATAATGGCAACGATACGGGCCGCACGTTTCTGGAACGCTCGTCACTATTTGCCGGGCGAATGAGTGGCATATTCCAGAAGGCCCTCGGAACCAAACAATAACGGTGAGTTTGGACAAGACTGCTAATAAATAATTCATTTCTGAAGCAGGTTCTTTTTCTTTTTTACTTACTTCTCGGTTCATAGCAGCATTCACCCAAAAATGTAATGATAGCACACCAGATAATCCTTTGTTTTAATTTATACATATTTCCCGTAATCTGTAAACACTCCGTATACGAACACGTCAAACAGAATCGCGACACACTGACTTTAATTGTTTGCACCTGGCAAAAGATTTTTT